AACACAAGCTAGTAGCTAAAAGAAACACAAGCTAGTAGCTAAAAGAAGCACAAGCTAGTAGCTAAAAGAAAAGTGCAAGCTAGTAGCTAAAGAAAGAAAAGTGCAAGCTTGTAGCTAAAGAAAGAAAAGTGCAAGCTTGTGGCTAAAGAAACACAAGCTAGTAGCTAAAGAAACACAAGCTAGTAGCTAAAGAAACAAGCTAGTAGCTAAAGAAACACAAGCTAGTAGCTAAAGAAACACAAGCTAGTAGCTAAAAGAAAAATGCAAGCTTGTAGCTAAAGAAAGAAAAACACCAGCTAGTAGTAGCTAAAGGAACAAATTGAGGATCAAAGTACCAACATAAGCCAAAAGGACCTAAAAGACTTGCACATTTTTTTCTTCTTCTTGCTTTAGCCTCTCTCGTTAAATGCTAACTAGAAGCTAAATGGAGCGAAACTTTAGCCCGAGGCTCTGAAAGGCTAGCTAACTTCTAAAAGAGCTGTCGACGATGTCCGCAGTAAGTAGCTAATGTCAGAGAATTAGTTTCAAATGTTTGAAACTAAAGTTGAATATTTTGAAAAGTATAAAAGTTACATGAACCAAAAGTCTCGGCTAACCATTGCCTGAATGAGCCGAACACACAGCTAAAACAGCACACAGCCAACTTTCACAACAACAAACTCTGGAAGGTTTAATCATCAAATCAACTTTAAATCAGATTAAATCAGAGTTTGTGCCGATGACGACCCTCGGCTACTTCAGCACCAAATTTTAGCTCCGTGTTTGTAAAACTAAACAACTTGTGGACGCTTTCATGTTCGCTAAAGTGATCAGGTGTGGCGGCCATCTTGAATCTGGTTCTCCATAAGTGAATCCGTTCAGCGTGCAGCTACGCCCGTTTGTGACCTTCTTAGTTTCCTTAAAGTCAGTCCAGTGGTTCATGATATTTTACTAACACAGACACGGTTGACATCAGTGTTTTAACAGCAGTATGTTGCATAATGTGTGCTCAGAATGTGTGTTGTGGATCACTCTCAGCTACTGCCACACCAGATTTCAACTTATCTATAATATTGACTGAGACATGGCTTCTTTTGTGATTGGTGATTTTGATTAGTTATGGCAGCCATCTTGAATTGGACTGACTCCAAAATTAATTCAGTTGTAGATATAATTCTTCTGATTAATTCCTGAAAGTTTCATTAATATCTGTTGGGTGGTTCATGAGATATTTTGCTAACAGACCGGGTTGACAGTGTTTTATCTTGCATAAGTAACGCTCAGGGCATGTGTTGTGGATCACTCCCAGCTACTACCACACCAGACTGTTTAATATCTGCAAAAATGACTGACATGTGGATTTTTATTAGCTATGGCGGCCATCTTGAATGCGGTTCACTCCAAGTTTAAATCACTTGTAGATTAAGTTCTAGATCAGTTCCTGAACGTCTCGTTAACATTTATCCGTTGGTTCTTAAGATATTTTGCTAACAGACAGAAAACGTGGTTTTAAAAACGGTTCTTGTGCCATCGGTCAGCCCTCAGAGTGTTTGTTGGGGATGACTCTCAGCTGCCACCGCAGGTTAATCCTAATCTGTAGATTTGTCTGAACAGATTAGCTGCGGCGGCCATCTTTAATGTGACTCCACAAGTTTCAGATGAAAACCCACAGGTCGATGCCGCCCTGTGCTGCGTGAGATATTTTGCTAACAGGCTGGTGTGTCTTTAAAGCGGTGCGGCAGAATTCACCTGTTTCTTCCTGAATGGAAAAAGAACCAATCAGCGCGCGCGGCCGATCAATCAATCAAAGCATCGATGCGCGTACATGCGGAGCGGAGTGTCTCGTGCAGCCGGAGCAGCAGTTCCGGAGCTCCTACAGACGGTGGCCGCACGAGCACACTCCTCCTCTTCCTCACGCACACGCGCTCCGTCCCGCGCGCCTCCACCTCCACCTCCGGCGGGGGGGCGGGATCCGCCGCAGCCGCAGCCGAGCGCAGCGCACTGTGAGGCGGCCGAGGAGCAGCGCGGACCCCGCTCCGCTCCGGAGGCGCTACTTCCTGCACGCGGAGCTTCTTTTTTTTTTTTTTTTTTTTTTTTTTTTGTGTGTCGGACCAACAAACACCTCCTCTTCCCCCCTCCGCTTTTATTTCCTGTCAGGTTTTACATTTTTATCTGGATCCGAGTCCAGACCCGAGGATGGATCCGATCTGAGCTGGATTTATTTCGCTTTGGAGGAAAAATAAAGAGCGAGCTCCAAACCGGGAGCGCAGCGGAGCGGCGCGCGCGCGCCTCCAACTGTGTGCGCACCATCACCATCACTCTCCGTGTGTGTCCATGTTTGTAGGTCCGGGGGGTCCGGGGGGTCCGGGGGGTCCGGGCAGGATGCAGCAGCAGCGCATGGCGGCTCTGGGCACCGACAAGGAGCTGAGCGACCTGCTGGACTTCAGCGCGGTAAGACGCGCACCTCCTCCGGCTCGCGCACACGCGCCGCCACTTTCTGCACCTTATTCACTTTAACGCAGAGAAAAGTTGTTTCCTGCAGATCTTGTTGTGTGTGTGTGTGCGCGTGCACATGTGATGCTGCATCAGTAATTTTGTTGTCTTGTAGATGCCAAACAGCGATTTGAAAATGTTCCCAACATCCATGGTAGTGTATCTCATTTACGTCCTCTTATTTCTTCTGTCATGTGGTTTGTAACAGTTACTCTTGTAGAAAATGTTTAGTTTAAACAAACAGCTCCAGATGTTTTTCTGTCCTGTTGTTGTTGTTGCAGTAAAGTGTTGTGACAGGAAACAGCCATGTTGTCTCTCCCTCCACCTCTGGGAGAAACTTTTTTTATCCGGGGAGGAGGGAAAAACACCGAAACGCAGAAAAAACCCGTTCTGGAACATCACGAGCGAGAAGATCCACAGGACGACTCCACCGGCGCTCGAGTCAAACGCGTGTTTTTTAGAAAAAGCCTTAAATTAAACCGGTTTGTGGTTCTGCAGCGAGCACGACGCGGACGCTTTGAAGGAATCTAGAGGACTCTATGGACGAGCCCAACAACGTGCAGAGAGCTCGTGAGGACGCGTCTTCCAGGGTCAGACAAAAGATCTGAGCTGGAGATGCTTCTGGACGTCACCGAGCCGATCAGACCGGGAAACCCGGCGCGGCTCAAGCACACGTTTAGTTTTCTTCTCGTAGAAATGATTCAGTGTTCAGATAAATTGAGACGTTCCAAAGACTCGTCCCGAACGTGTCGCTGGAACAAAGGAGGGCAGGAGCTGAAGCGGGTCGCTCAGAACCAGAGCGGGCCGAGCTGTAATCGATGCGACGATCCGTCTTTGCGTTGACGCCGGCGGCTCGCGCTCAGACGCCGGCGGGCGGACCGTAACCACCGTTGCACCGTTTCTCCCCGGGAACGATCCCCTGCAGCCTTTAAGGGATGAACGCGCGTTTTAAGACCCGACGTTTGCGGCGTTCTGCGTGAAACGTGTCCATCCAGGTGTTGATAATCGGGCCTGATGTTTATCCAGATGTTATCAGCGGGGTCAGAGGCCTCTTCAGCAGCCCCTCCTCTGTAGCACCTTCCTGTAGATTGTATTAGTTTTCTTCTGTAGATGTGTAGAGCAGATCATGACTAGTGGTGATTTTATTTGTGCCTTTCAGGAAGTGAACGGTTTCATTCCACAACAAATCGGCAGCGACTCTTTGAAACCAACTCCCCGTGGTTCCACCTGGAACTTGAATTCTCTCAAACTCTTAATAATAAAAACCAACGTTCTTCTCTGAGCCGAGTGTTTGGTGAGCAGGACTGGACCTCATCGAGCAGAAAACATCAAGTCCAAACCAAAAACCACAGAACCAAGGGTCCAAACCTTTAGACCTGGTGCAACAGGAGACCCTCAACCCCAAAGATTCTCTCGGCTCAGACTTTGCTCTGGAGTTGGTCTTGATGTAGAACTTGGGTTCAGATGCAGGACTTGAGTTCTGGAGTTGGTCTTGATGTAGAACTCATGTTTGACCTCTTGGGTTTCTCCGTTCCTTGGACTTGTCCTGAGTTCAGACTTGTTGGACTACACTGAAGACCTGAAGTTTCTGGTCTTGGTTTAAGGCTTTAGTCTGGATCAGGTGTTCTTCAGGTTGGACTTGGACAGGATGAAGGTTGGATCTGGTCTCTGGACTCACCTGCTGACCTGGATCCTTGATCAGACCCTGGACCAAACTGACAGATTTACCCGACTTGAACCTTGAACTTTTTTTTTTGCTCTGAATAACGTGTTCAAGGTCGAGCCAAGAAAAAGTTTCTGCAAATATTGGTGAACCCCGAGTGACTTGCACGAGCTAAAAGCTAAAAATGATAAAAGCTAGAGGAAACCAAAAGTAAATCACAAGCTAAAAGTAGCTAAATGCAAGCTAAAAGCTACAAATAGCAAATCACAAGCTAAAACCTACAAGTAGCAAATCACAAGCTAAAAGTTAAAAGTAGCAAATCACAAGCTAAAAGTAGCTAAATGCAAGCTAAAAGCTACAAATAGCAAATCACAAGCTAAAAGCTAAAAGTAGCTAAATGCAAGCTAAAAGTTAAAAGTAGCAAAACACAAGCTAAAAGCTAATATTAGATAATTCAAGCTAAAAGCTAAAATTAGCAAATCACAAGCTAAAGCTAAAAGTACATAAATTTAAGCTTAAATCTAAAAGTAGAAAATAAAAAGCTAAAAGCTAAAAGTAGCAAATAAGAAGCTAAAAGTAGCAAATAAGAAGCTAAAAGCTCAAAGTAGCTAAATGCAAGCTAAAAGTAGCAAAACACAAGCTAAAAGTTAAAATTAGCTAATTGTAAGCTAAAAGCTAGAAGTAGCTGAACATAAGCTAAAAGGTAAACGTAGCAAACTCCATACAAGTCAATAGTAATGAAATACTAAGTGTAGTCAAAAATGAGCTAAAAGCTAAATGTAGCCAAAAGCTCACTCGATGTTAAATCTAGCCAAAGTCTTGCTCAAAGCTTAAGGTAGCCAAAGATTAGCTCAAAGATAAAAGTAGCTGAAGGTTAGCTAAACCTAATTGTAACCAAAGTCTTGCTCGAAGGTAAATGTAGCCGAAGGTTCTCAATCACAGCAGCCTTCTCTTGAATTAGCCGAATGTGTTGATGCACGAGCGGCTACAAAGAAAACGTCTGTAAAGCCGAAGATGGACTCAGAGTGGTACCGGTCCTGCTCACTAAGAACTCAGAACCAGCTCAGTGATCCTCACTAGTCACAGGGAGGAGGTGAACCCAAACGGCCCAGTCGTGGTTCTGGCCCGGTGTTGTGGAGTGAAGCTGTTCCTCCGTGTTCGGCTCGTGTTCTGGACTCGCAGCTCTCAGAGGTGATGTCGCTTCTGTTTGTCTTCTAGATGTTTTCCCCTCCCGTTAGCAGCGGAAAGAACGGACCCACCTCCCTGGGGAGCGGACATTTCTCCGGCTCAAGTACGTCACACACGCACGTGCACACACACGTGCACACACTGCTGCTGGTTTCGTGTGTTTTCGGTCTCTCTGCAGTTTTTCTCATAAATTGATGATTTGTTGGAACATTTTGCTTCGACTGAGAGAAGTTGGCAACACATTTTATTTTATTTTGAAACAACCCGGCTCTGTAGTTTTCACTTCCTGTTTGACTCCGAGAAGTTGAGATGGAACTTCGGGGTTTTCCACGTTTTGTCTTATTTTAGCTCTTTCAGGTTATTTAGCTGCTGAAGCTGAATCCTGACGCTGCTTCCTGTGTGTGTGTGTGTGTGTGTGTGTTGTTTGGGTTTGAACGCAGCAGAACCGGGCGGTACCGTTCGGCTCGCAGCAGATTTTCACGGCGCCTCAGTTTTTATTTTTGAAGATTAAGTAAATTTCTGGACGATGGATGTCACGGTGGAAGATTCGACCCGTTTGGTTAAAACTTTGTTTGTCAACACAAACGACGGCAGTTGGAGGCTGACGTGCACGTGGCGGGTGACAGGCATTCCTTGGGTTTCCAAAGTTTGGGCCCGGAGGCCCGACTGCTCTCTGGAATGAACGATTTAAACATTTTAATGTTTGACGGTTCTGTTTGTGTCGCTCGTGTTCACAGTGCCAAGATGGAAAGACATCAGCAATAACCGTTAAAGAGCGCATTGTGTCGCATGTTTTCAAAGGAAGGGTCAAAGGTCGTCGAAAAGGCAACTGTCTGGATCTGATTCACGTTTGGAGCGGAGCCAGTTCAAAATGGCCGCAACTACCAAACGTCAGCAGAGACGACAAGGCGGCAGGTCTGAGACAGGGAGCTGCTTGGTGTGGTAGTAGCTGAGAGTCGTTCTCAACGCGTAGTGTTTGACAAAACGTCGTCACTTCTCTGCTCGAGATGATCGTCTTCATCCTGAACTCTGGTGTGGAGGTGGCGGGCGATGTGCAGGTGGCGGGCGATGTGCAGGTGGCGG